ACTTGAATTCATTTTTTGTTTTAAATACAAAAGAACGGCTAATCGGTCATTCTTTAAATGAATGCATTCGAGATTTTTGATAAGTTCATCCTGCCAGTTAATTCCCTAAATGAAGGTAACCCAATGTTACGAGTTCCGAAAGTAGTTAATTAAACGATCATGACGGTTGGCTGCCGAGCTATTCGCTTGTAGCTGGGATCATAATTAGCTCATCATCGAGGTATATACGAAAATAAAAGCAAAAGCACGATTAAGGTTAAGGCCAATGCCTTAACCTTAATCGCGCTTTTGCTTTTTATTCAACATAAAAAAAATGCGAGCTTTATCAAATCGATCCCATTCTACTACTTCAAATTACACACACATCACGCAGTATTTTAGGATATATGATTTGTTAGGTAAAGTTGTTAAACACTAATACTTCCATAATTATAGATATATTGTTTCTCAAAATAAAAGTTTTAAAAATAATTCCAAAAACGAAAATAAATAAATATAAATTTTTTTTCTTCAACTCATTTGATTGAATTATTTCTGTTCTTTTTTTAAAAAAAAATTATATTTCTCTCCTTTGTATATTGCTGCTAATAAATAAGATAAAATCAACTTATATATCTTAATATGATTTTGGAATATTATATTAAATTCAAAACTTTAGAATCAAACAAAACAAAAACCTCTTAAAATATAACATTTTTTTATGTTTAATTTAAATAAAATGTTTAAAATGTTTAATAGATTTCATATATTCTACGTATTTTTCATATCTTTATTTCTGAAACATCTAGATTCCTATTCTCATTCTGCACAGAATCGTGTTCTTATACAAAATCAAATCGAGGAGCACTATGTAAGACGTAAACATCTTTTCATATCAGCTTCCAATCTTAAATTCGACTTTTTTACAATGTAAACGCTTTAGGTTTGCCCAGTTCTCTCACGGAATGCGTTGTTTGCTCAGTTCGACTTTGTTATATTCGTATCGCACGCTATGATCATGCGTTGCCCTTGACGACTTTAAACTTTAAACAATGCTATTTCGACTTATATTTGAACTTCATTCAAGTCTAAAGGTAAACGTCCAGATAGTTACTTAATCGTCAAATTACGTGACATTGTGTAATTTAATGTTTTGAAATTAATACCATATAACTTTTCATGTGACTTATTGTACAATTTTGATTTGCCAAACAAACGATCATCATACAAACATGTATTTGAAACTTCAAATCGATATTTATCCTAAATTAGAATTTATTTTTTGGGATACTTTGTGTAATAATTATTAGAAAATATATGTATGCGAAGCCATCGTATCATTATATAAAAATTAATAAACAATTAATTAACAAATAAGATTTTTGACTGTAATATTATTCATAAATTAAGAATTGGCTTCATTTTTAATAATTCTATAATTTTCGATCGTTAATAAAAGCAAAAAATTCTGATTGTTAATTTTGTTTAACGAAAAAGATAACTAAAATTAAAATGTCCATTTCACGTAGCGTTTCACATTGTTTTGCGAGAATTTCCTTATCATTTATTGTCAGATTTTCAGTTTTATAATTCATATCAGTTTTAGAAAAAATTCTAATTTTCTGAAGCAAAACACATCAATTAAAATAAAATAATAACAAGCAAACGCCAACATCACTGATTCAATTTCGAGATTTTTGTTTTAAAACAGTTCTCCAGTATATTCAAGCACATAAATTATAAAAAAATTTATATAAAATTAAAATACTTAAAATTATATGAAAATTGTGTTATAATAAACAAAAATTTTAAAAATTGAACAACGTCTTACCTTTATATTTACAGATAACATTCTACGAAAAAAATATTCGGAAAATATTTTAATATTATACTAATGGTTAATACAATGTAGAAAATGTACAGATTGCTCAATATTATGCAAAAACTGAAAGAAACTTTCAGAATAGAACTCTTGAAAATCAATTAACTTTTTATCTGGATGCTGGTATATGAGTTTGTTGACAATTTTATTTTAATCGATGTTTTTTTACTTTTAAAAAAATTCTTCCTGTACATAAAACTATAAATCTTTGAAAATCTAACGGAAAATGATAAGAAAAATTTTATAGGACAAAATGAGATGTCGAATATAGCTTTTGGGTTCAAGGTCAGCACGTTTTGTCTTTTCGCGATCATCGAACGAAGTTTAAATATACATCGAAACGTTGACCTTTTCCCTTCTCCACGCTTAGCTAATTCTGATAAATTTAACAACGCGGCTGAACAATTCAATAGCTTGCATACATATAAATGCAAACTGTTAAAATCACGTTATTAACTATTAACAAACGTGAATATATCAATAGAACAATATAAAATTATATTCCAAGCACAATTATGATTTACTAGATAAAATTATCCAGTGGTTAAACGTTTTCCTTTCTTATTTTTAGTAGCAAATATATACATATTCTTTGTCAAAAAGTCTTTTATTAATTAAATAAAATTTACAAATTAACATCAAAGTTTTATTTTTTTATTGCATTATGGGGAGAGAGATGAATGTACATATATTTTTGATCTATATTTTAAAAGATATAAAATTAAAATAATAAAATAAAAATAAATATATCTATATTAATAATACATTTTCGATAATTGGCGTTATTTCTTGTTGACATGGATAATGCGTTTTTTCTTGAAGAATTGCTTTCAGTGCTAATGGCAGAGAGCTAATGGTAGCATTGAAAGTAACATTCTTCAAAAGAGAGAGAAAAAGAGAGAGAGAGAGAGAGAGAGGGAGAGAGAGAGAGAGAACGTAACAGCTATTATGTCAACAAGAAATAAATGTCAATTATCAAAAATATGTTATTAATAAAGATATATTCATTTTTTATTTTGTCATTTTTTGTAGCTTTAAAAATATAAATCACAATGAAAAAAAACAGCACATTTTCTGAATATTTATTTTTTGGAGACAATACACCGACACAAAGCTAAACATCCTGAAAAACGCTGTTTAGTACGAGATAAGAAACAATACGTAATAAAAGTAAAAAAAAAATAAAATAAAATAAAATAAAAAAAGGAAAAAATAATTACACATGAATTAAAGTTGTACCGCGTGGTGACCTCTATCGCGTTGATGCGTATATAGATAATGAAATAAGGCAATTAACGTCCTGCTTTATCGGCGGGACGAGTTTCGAGTCAATGACCGCGATTGAGAAGTGCCTGACCTATTTATCACAAATGTATGTATCCAGCTTGCGCATACACGTGAGCGTGTGTGTATGCGTTATGCGCTCTTTATCCTATTATTTTTATCCTATTTAGCCAATTCAATCTTCGAGAATCTCGCTCATGCTCATTTTCGCGGGGAGGCCTTCTCAAAATAAATTTGTCTCCTCTTTATCTAGATCTAAACTATCGATTCTTTCTTTTTCCCTGCATCGCGAAGTCACATTCATCGATCATCAAGAATTTTTTCTCAATCGATTCTCGAGTATTACTGCGTATCAGCGATGTTCACATATATTTATCAGCGGATCAAATCGATTTGGATTTATCAAAGATCGCGTTATCAGCAAATGTCGCGAATAGATTTCGGCGTAAAAATAATCGGCACGATTCGATCAACACGAAACAACAACGAATTGGGCAGCTCGTTATCTGATCCTTATCGCGCAACATTTATAACCGCGATGTATCGTACAGGCCTACCTCAATCTGCCATAACCTCCTTATCCGGAACAAACAAACAGGCTCGAAACGTTAATGCGTTAGGTCGTTAACGTCATATCCTCGGGAGATAAGGGTCATTCCTCGAGGACGATGCGCTTTTGGAAGTCAATGCCTTTGCGGGCGATCTGACGACACGGGGGAACGAGCCAGCTCTGACAGCTCGATCGTTTGACATCGCGTGACAGCAATTCCGAGGCTGAATCGTGAATGCGATTAAACGTTCGCTCGATATTGCACGATTTGATAAAGTATCGCGAAAACGACCTAGAACTACATGACTAAGAGAGAGGGAGAGGCAGGAACTGGCTCGTCGCGCAAAATAATAGGAGGAAGCACCACGTACCTGGAGACTATTGAATATATTAATTGCACGTCGTCCTGCGTGCGATGATATTATCCAGACGTAGATAGATCACCGGGTCGGCCTCGGCGGGCGAACTCCTTTTGTCACAAAACACTGCACATGCTGTCACGCGACCCGGCGCGCGATCATCGCGTTTACTCGTTGTCCTGATCGCGTCGAACTGCTCGCGGACGTCGCACTAGCTGTCACGATGCGTGTGAAGCACGTATTACGCGTGAGAACTTACGTTTTAACCAGCTCCGACCTCCTCGCGTTCGACCGAGGTGCGCAGTGCCGCCATATTTCTTGTTGTCCCGATGATTTCCGCCGACTCGGCCGCGCTCGGCCGCGCTCGGCTGTGCTCGGCCGCGGTGGCCTCGGGAGCCCGCTCGACTGCGCCACGAGCATGCGCAGGAGCACGAGTCGCCGAGAAACTTCGAATTTCTTCTAAAAGTCGATTTGAGTGAATTTCATCGAGTCTGCTTAGACGAATCGAGGAATAAAATTAGCAGCGCGGCCGGAACCAAGCATTCATGTCTACGAATGTCACGACAGACATAACAGACGTGAATATTTTGGTCGCCTTAGCGACTAATTTCCCTGTCGATTCGTCTACTCGCCGGACTTGATGAATAATTGACTCTTAGAAGTCGAAGCAAGCCGACCCGTCGCGATATTCACGTTTAAGAACAATGTCTAGTGTATTAGGATAAACGTCTGATACTTTATGCGCTGCTCGTAAGTTACTTTTATGAGATACAAGCACGAATAGTTCGGAGCGACGTGAACGCGATCCTCCGCGCGACGCGTCCATTAACGACTGTGATTCGAGAGTATCGAAGAGCGATGGGATCGATACTTCGAGATATCGCAACGTCACGACTCTTCGATAGATTTCGAATCGCGGTCAATCATGGACGCGACGCGACGAAGTCGTGTTTATGTCGCTGTGTACTTTTTTCCATTGTGATTGTTTACAAAGTGAATCTCGCGTGTGAACAAGTATCAAATGTGTGTCAAGTTGTTAAATAATCCCGCATTGTGTATAATCGCCACTACCATGACTTCGATCAGCGATGATACATCTCTAAACTCTGGAGCTGCGTATTTCCAGTCAATTTTTACAAGTGTTTCCAGGTATGTGTATGCATGTAAGTACATAATATATGTCATCGTGTACAAATTTATATACGTTTATCCTATTTATTATAATTGTTTAAATATATATAAACCATATGTAATATTTTATTGAAATGTGCTAAATTGTCGAAATATTTAAAATGGTAAATTATAATGCAACAATGAAATATATATAATATAAGAATAATAGAAAAATTTCTGCATAAATAAGCTTTAAGTAAATTTTTATGCAAAAATAATGAAAAATCTATGTATAATAAAATATATACTTATTTAAAACATTCACATTGTAACAATTTCTCTATATTTAATTACAAATTGTTGAAATTATTTAATAGATGAATATTTATTATATATAAAACAAAGATTAAAGACTAACAATAAGAAATCATATATGTGTAAATTTATTATCATAAATATATACTAATGATTATGGTTATAATATAAGAAGATGTTTTCCTTGAAAATTTATATATATGTATATATATTTTAATATCTTTAGCAATATTTTTCATTTTCATACAATAACGTACTATACGTTATCATTTATACTTGTCAGTGTACTATTTCTTATACTGATATAATATTTGCCGAGATGACAGTAATTTATGATTTTTTTTTCTAAAACTGTTATAAGATTAATGATTTTTAATATTATCAGTGATAACATTTTCAAAAATTGCATTTAAAACTACATTTAACATTTAAAGTATTTTTTCATATTGGAAAATAATATTCTTATTAAATCACAATATAATGTATAAAAGTGTTATATTATTCTTTATGTTATTTTGGACAAACAGTATTGTATAATTAGTATAATTGTAATCGAACTATAATTTTATTAAATTTGTATTTCGCATACTTGAATTGATTATGCAATAATACATTGCAATAATATCATGTCATCGACGATCGGTCATATCAGTCAGCAATCACCTGTTATTCAACAGATGAAAATTTATCTACGTTTACAGACCCGAAATCGTATCTCATTGGGATAAGGTAAATACAAAAATTCTTCTATTTAAAAATAATTTGCATACCTCACAGCTATTCAATTAAAAATAATTTTCAAATAAAAATTATTTTGAGAATTTAAATACAATTATCATGCTTGTTATTGTTATATCTAAATAATGAAATAAATATACAATTTGTAATGAATTTATCTTGTAATGGATAATGAATATGGATAATAATAAATATAAATTTAATGGATAATTATAAATTATTATAAATTACTTTTATTTTATGTATTATTTATTTAAATCTGAAAACAGTTAAAAGAATTATTATATGTTTATCATAATTATGACAATTTGTTATATTCTCATTGTTTTATAATTTTTAATTTTTGTACTAATTTTTTATATTATATTTTTTCATATTATTTTCTACATATTCGATTGTTGAGAAATATAACTTTTTTATACAATATTAGTGTAATTCACAGAATAGTTAATAGATGACACTACGAACATAAAAATTTGTTTCAGTTTTTTCAGAATTACATGTATGTAAAATGGATTCATTAACGAGAAAATAAATTATAATATTAAATTATAATTACATATTAAATTTTTACATTTAAAATTTTTATATTTAAAATTTTTTACTTTAGATTTTTTAGAAAATATTTATTTTTTATCAGATTAATGATAATATAAAATTATACTGGTTCAAAATTTTTTTAAGAAGATATATGTGTGTGTACGGAATTGTATTATAAACTATTCATTTTTTTACATTTTTCAAAAAGAGATCTGCTATAAAACATGAATTATATTTAACATAATGTTTATGTGCATATAATGTATGCATTTAAAAATGACACAATTAATAGATTATTTAATATTATACAAATCAAAAATTACAATCAAATAAAAATTTGATCACTCAAAGCATACTTGCTTTCAAATCTGATTGTGAGTCTAATTACATAGCGCAAGCGCTATAAAAATTAATTTTTTTGCCATTGCAATGATCGCGTTACGTTCACATGAAGGAAGAGGGCGAGGGAAGGGGACTTAATTGCACAGGAATGCGAATGGAACGAATTCATAAGAAAATCCGCTTACTTCCATTACTTCTTTGGTAAAATCCTGTTGCGGGTTTCGTTCGCGACGTTCCCTAGGGAAACACATGGAGGGATGCGACGGATTACTTTGTTCCTCGATGATCACGTAATTTCTCCGATCACGAAGACTTCGGAAAGTCACAAATTAAATTTTTGTATCAATGTGATTAAAAGCAATTTTTTGTACTATATAAGTTTTGCTTTTTTTTCTTTTCGATCAATTATCGTAAAAAAAGTTTTGTTTTTTTCTTCGGTTGTCACGTCGACGATTTTTCTCCTATTGCAACTTTATCATTGGTCGCAGTCGTGGCAGGCCTCCAGCACGTGATATTGTCGCAATCTGATTAGAATTGTTAATGTTGTCGCAATTAAAAAAAAGTGTAGCAAAAACTAGCTTACGTTCAAATTAACTTGTTTCCTTCTTTTGTATCTCTTGCTATTTACCACATGTTGCTCTAAAATTACTATAAATCTTGTTAAAAACGCGCAAAATATATATTGTATAATATAGTTTTCATACTTTTTTGATTTAGTGTCGCAGTAATTTTTATCAACTGCTACGTTTCATAATGTACAATTTTATCTTTAAACTCTTTCGAACTTATATGAGCTTATATTATTGTACAATGAAATTTTTTTTAATTTTATAAACGCAACAATTGCATCAATGACTATCTCTTTGTAAAACTGAAGACGCGATAAAAATGCGCGTCGTAGCTTTTAAATAACCAGGTCGCGGCCAGCGTAAAAGCTCGGGAAATGGGTTACTGGCGTGACCAGAAAGCTCTCCGATTTCGTGAAAAGGGGTTGGAAGGAATGGACGAAATATAGTATAAGCGACCGAAGAAGGATGTTAAGTCTCCACGAAGACCCTCATCGTCTGGCTTAGTTGGATGGACTTTAGGACCATCTACTCCCTTGTGACGAGGGATAAAAAAGGTTATCATAGTAGATGCTCACATATACACATACACAGAAATGTGCGCGCGCGCACACACACACACACACACACACACACACACACACACACACACACACACACACACACACACGCACATACACACACACGGTTTCTGACTATTATAGTTAATCTTTGTTTTATAATAAATGTCTACATATAATAATAATCTATTAAATAATTTCAACAACTCGTAAATTAATTATTATAGAGAAATTGTTACGATATTAATGTTTTAAATAAGTATTTTGTTACACAATTTATTTTTTACATTAGTTTTGCATAAAAATTTACTTAATGCTTATTTATGCATAAATTTGTCTCTACGCGCTATGATGACTACAATTTATCATAAAATTAATTGCGCCTTTTTGAATGAGGATTATAACAAAAACTTTATCCAAACCGATTCATATCGGTTTAGAAGACAACCTTGGGCGGTTTTGCAATAATATATTTATTAGACCTATCTCTCATAAAATTTATTACGGCTACCGAAAACTATATATACATATACTCGTTTTTGCAATCGTGAAATACGAAAGGATTATATATTTTTATTATTATTATTTAATTACATAGGTATGTTATATACACTTTTATTATTTATTTATATATGAAAAAGTCTGGTTAGAAAATAAAAAATATGATCAAGCCTGTCACAATAAATTACTGGCACGCGTACAACGGCACAATGACGGCATTATGATCGATGTCGTTAAAACCATATCCTTGTCCTACGTATGATGTATATGCAAGTGGAAGTATATTTTGCTTCTACGCAGATGTTTTCAACAATGCGTTACTAATAACTATTACTTTAATTCTCTTAACAACTATATTAATATTTTAAATTATTAATGATTAATACTTAACAAGTATTGCTTTATCTTTCACATGAAAAGTCAATATAATTTTTTTTCATTAATTTTACTTTTTGATCTCTATAATTTGTTCGCATCTATTATTTTCAACCATTTAATATTACAAACTGTAGTTTCCTTATCTTTTGAAACAATAAGATGTTAAAAATACTTAATGTATAAAATTTAATTCTACACTTTATAATATTTTTTAAATGTTTTTATGAAAAAAAGTATATAGAATTTTTTACAAACATTGTTTAAAGCTATGCGTATCTTGTTAGTCAACGTTATATAATTTAAAATTTATTTAAGCGTTTCATTCATAATAAAACAGTTTCATATTTGGAACGTATTTTTGTGATAACATAGGATTTCGGAAAATCGCAGCGTGCAAAATGCATAATCGTGTGGGAATGAACAAAATAAATCCCACGAGTTGACATACTAACAGTTAGATAAAAATCTAGCCTTACATCGTAGGTGTGGTCTGATGTAGAATAATTTTTATCGGTGTAACGTTGTATTGCGATATGGTTAATGACGACTTATCGGCCAGTTCTCGTTAATTATGGAAACCGAGTCTGAAATTGCATATCTGGAATTAATGTTCTCAAAGATACATAATCTTTTAAATGAGCGTGATGTTTTACTTGTTTGCATAATTCTCGCAAGAAAACAGTAAATGACGAATAATTCAACGAATGAGAAAAGTGCTGCAGAATGCATACTTTTTATTGGCTTTTAGTGATAAATTTGTTGATACAAATTATTTCCAATATTATTTAAATTCTTCATTTAATTTGGTTTTGTATCTGAACAAAATATGCTTTTATCAATAATTAATGATAATCGATCGTGAACAATATAATCCGCTTTGAAGTTTCAGGAAGCAAATTATGTTTTCTGGGTCGATAGACTTCTACTTTGTCATTATGAGTCAGATAAATGCAAGCGCATAACGAAATAAATGACCTTAGATTAGCCTCGTCGCGAAACTGTTGCCTTTCTGCTACACGAGGTTATTTAATTCTTCTTTTACGGTATTTTAGAAGTAGGAAATATGATGACGCAATACGTCTACCCTTGTTCTACATTGTGCCTTTATACCACCGGCAATCGTTTGTTTGACAAAAACAATGGCTAGAATATTTGGCGCAGGGAATGATTTCATTTTTCCGCGTGTCTCTCTCTTTGCATGCTCTTATTTTTTAATTGTTACAACGTGACACGCGAACAAGTGACCGGCGATTATTGATGCTTTTAAATAGAAAACAGGTTTAGCTATACGGGGCGATTTACGAAACCTATTTAATTAACATAAATAATACTGCAAATTGAATATTAATTTTGCAAGTATGATTATAAATATTGGAAATAATTAACACATATTCTTCTTATTATATTTGCTCAGTAAAGATACAAGAGATCGATCAAAAATAAATATGTTTTCTTACATATTTGGCTTGATAAATTTTAGTATATTTGACTTTATAAAAATTCTTATGTAGATAAAATTTATCATTAAATGTTACACATAAAAATTTATTATAAAATTTGATTTTAAGTTAGCATATCTAAATTAAATGGAACTGATTATCTCTATCAAAAATTAGATATTATATAGAATGCACTTTTAAAACTAGGGGAAGAGGGTGGAAGTAAATGCGATTACTATTGGATATGTATTTTCTATTAATAGATGTTTACGATTTGAAGTTAAACTGTACGTCTATTAAAATGCAGAGATATCGATTTATTTAATACAAATAAGAATTCTAAACTTGCGTGATCCATATACGACGATTTTTAATATTTTAATTAATAATTATACAAGCTACCAACTATTTATAAAAATTGAGGTATAAATTCTTTTTCTCACATCTGGAGATATATAAAATTAATAATAATGATATATGTACGTTATAAAAAGATGGTAATACATATGAATAGATTTATGATTGTTAAACGGATATAAGCAGTCATTCGGTACACTATAAAAATACAGTACAATAATCATGTTGTTTTATTAAGAAATTAATGGTTCACTCGATATTTACGATTAAATCGTAACGTGACTTGTGGTTAAATTTTGAATTTTATTAAGATTATATTTTTGAAAGTATGCTTACCTTGAATATACATTATATGTTTTAGAAAATTTCACGATTCGATGATTCACGTATTGTCCTTAGAGTTATGTTGCGATTATCAACATCGCTGTTGTTTCATAATGTAGCTCCTATATTTCTGCATATAAACGAAACTTTATATATGTATAAATATTTTTTAAATATATATTTAACAAAATATTTTATTATATTGTATTTATGCCACAATTGAAATGCAACACTGATTTACTATGCAAGTTCATGAATTTGTGATCAAAGCAATATGATACTTGCGATAGAAGTTTGATTGTTCTAAATATACTATTAAAACATGTAAATTAATATAGTTATATAATGTATATTTTTTTATTAGCATTTCAGAATAATGGATTGAATATCTGATAGCAATTATTATATGTATATTTAAATGCGCATATTATTCTGTATTCTTTTTCGATAGAGTAATATTATACTTACATAATATCTATATTACATATAATATTTTTGTATTTAAATGTAGCAATATAATATTAACAAATTGATTTTGATATATATTTACAAAAAATAATATTAAATATTAGAAAATAATAAATAATAATTTCGACATTTTCGATCAGAAAAGTTTTATTCATTTAAACTTAAAGTACATCCATAATTGGAAGTTAATTTGCTATTTATTCTGCATGTATTATTTATCGAATTAATGTCATTTCTATTAATATATATGTGTTAATAGTATACAAGAATTCGGACTATGAAGTATAATATTATATCTATCAACGAGAAGGGCTTTTAATTATATATGTTTTGAATTAATTAAGATATTGGCTCAACATGACGATTACTACGAGTAATTGCTATAAATGTGTTGTAATTTTTGCGAAGAGATCTAATCACTAGATTTCATTGGATGAATGCATAATGTAATATAAACGGATAATAGCTTATAATTATCTAATGAGTTATACAAAACTTGACAGCGATTTTGTTATAAATTATAATTTTTTATTTTATTTAAATATTTTTTATTGATATGTAAATTATTATTTAATTATTTACGTGGTATTTTATTATCACGTTATATATAACTTTTTTATTATCAATTATTGGGATGGAAAATGTCAAGTGTACATAAAATTAAATACTCTAACAGTCGAATAAGTTGTAAATGTATATCATTACTATCATACATCTTCCTTTTCATAGATGAAAAAGATATTTAACTTATGACATTTTCTGACGGCTCTTATTAGTCTTTTTCAAAAATTACTAAGTCAGTGTGTATAAATATACAGAATATACATTTTCTTTTTGCTTTCTTTTTCTTCCTCTTTTAAATTTCTTGGCGCAAATGTAGATACGGAAAATGTGAATCAAGGACGTATTGATTTAAAAATATTGCATATCTTTTTTTCTTATGGATAATTACTTTATATTAAGTTAATTAACATTACTATATTTTTGACAGCTAAAAAGGTGATACATATATTTACATTTAATTACACAGAGAAAGAACATTTTATATTTATTTATACTACTTGTATTATTTATTAATTATGTATTTTTATATTCTTTTCTATAAATAAATATAAAGAATATAAGATAAAGTTTTGATTCATCTGTTTTGGAATAGAAATTTTATATAAAAATACAACAAAATTTTATTAAAAAAACTGTTACGCAAATTAAATATTTATTATTGACATTTATTAATTAGTCTATATTTTTAAAATATTTAAATTCTAAGATTGGAAAACAAAAATATAAATCAATTTTATTTTATTGTATTTTAAAAAGACAAAATTTATGGTGTGTATGATTATAAGTATAACACATTAATTTAATTGTTTATGTGTGATAAAGAGATTTATCTTTTTTTTAAATAGCAGATTAATATGATAACTAATAAATAATTTCAAGCGCATTCTTTGTTGACTAAATGACGAAAACAAATTAATTGCATTAAATAGACTCATATTTCATATTTATCTTTATATGCATATATTAATAATTATATATATAATAATATATAATATATATAATAATATATATAATAATTATATATAATAATTATATATAATAAATATATTATTAAATTTAACACATTTACGTTACTAGGTAGAAACGTGTATTGTCGACGGTAATTAAAGAATCATTAATCTCTTGAAGAAACATCAAGGTTCTATCCACGATCAATATAAAAAAAATAATTGCAGTACTACGTAATAATTAATTCCTACGGTAATTTGATAGGCGTGTTTTCAAATACTGATATAACAATCCTATACTAGCGATATTGATGACAACAGCCTGATTTGCCTTATAAATATATATGTCATCGCAAAAACAGTTGGGCATACACTGAATTTGAACGGAATTTTTTTAAGAATTATATTACATATATTTCCAGCTTTTAGAAACTTCAGAATAATATTGCTAATTAAATTCTATGAAAAATAATTTGTGCGTATATTTTGTTAAAAATTACTTGCATTATCTTTGCTTGCAATAATGTAAACATCAGTTTGAAATTACAGAAATTAATCTCATATTCTAATATTGCGCAATTAAGCTCTTTGTTGTATATATGTTTTGCAAAGAAACATACATATCAATAAAGATGATTATTGATTGACCATTATGTGCATCTATTTAAAACCTTACTTCGTACAGCAAACATTTTTAGATTTTGTATTTTGCGCATAAAAAAATGTCCAAAAATATTTAGATATATCCGAATTTCTAGAAATTTATTGTTAATCAGTAGCCTTTTTTTTCTACACTGCTATTTATTTTTTATTTTGAAAACTGTATATTGCGATGTGTGTATGTGTGTGTGTGTGTGTATAATTGCGCAATAGCGTTTTTATGCGACTTGTTATCCACTCTATAATAGTCGCTATTTAACATTATTAAATATTCATTTATGCTTGTTCTTTTTTTTACGTTAAATAAGGTATGTCTCTAATGAAATATATCGATATATTGATTTAATGCACATCAAAATTGTCGTCAGTAGTCAGGACAGCATTTCATTCTTAATAAGCAAAAGAAATCTATGTTTGTAAAAAATCTATGCATAAAATTTTTATATTGCTTATTACTAATGCTGTATTATCAAACATTGTAATATTCTTATTATCACCGTCTTTTTTGAATGTCTAATGTACTTCTGTTTGTGTCTAAACTCTATAAGCGCATGATATTATTTAATATTTTAACAATATTCTAGGCGTATTTTTAGAATATTTAATATTCTAAGAATACGCCTAGAATATTAAATAATATCATGTGCTTATAGGGAATTTATACTTAACAGATAAATAAGTGAAGCTAATTAAATATGTAAATTACATATGTATATACATATGTACAATATCGATTTAGAAAATAGAAAATAATATATTATTTTATTTAATTTATCTAAATAAGCTGTCTGATTTTTTCTAGAAAATTTGTAGCTTCTTTTGTATGGATTTAGGTATTACTTAATATGACTCAGTGTTTACAAACAAATCTTCTGTTGGAATTCGCATATATCTGAGTTTGATATAGTCAACGACCTAACCGACAGTTGTGGATTTACTGTTTGAAGAAGTGACATAAGTTATTTAATCTTATAATTTTAAATTTGGATAGTAATAAAAAATGGAAGTTTTAGCGATTGCAAGTGTAATTTTTTTCGTAAAAGTTATACTATGTTGCACATTATTGCGAAATTGTAAAACAAGAGATAAAAACGTAAAAAAAAATGTAAATATTGGTGAAAAAATATGCAAAGGTAAATTAAAAAGTATTAATAAATTCATATCTTGCTATTATGTTATTTACTTTAACTATTTATTTATGATAAAAGATTTATAAAATAAACAACATAAAAATAAATTTATGACAAATAGATAACGAATCTCTCGACTAATATTACAGCTGTTTATAATTAGACAACATTTTAAATTTATATTTTATTATAAAACAGAAATAATTAGTTAAATAAGCTATATTATATTTTGTTATTATTTAAAAACGGAAATTAGTCATTTTTTAAGAATAGCACTAAATAAAATATAAAATTAGATTCTGTTACAGAATCGACGGATTCACCTTCTAAGCCACCGCGAGGTGTCAAAAAGGTGAAGAAAGGTGAAAAAAGTGATCATTCGAATTTATCAAAAAATATTACAGCGAATGATGTACAATCCGAAATATTTGGCAATTATATAAGGTTATATATAACTATATAAAAATATTTTGCAAAAACTTTATTGATTGGTTTACTTATGCATAAGTACAAATGTTTTCATCTATTTCATTTGTTTACAAAATGTATTAAAATAGTATATATAGAGACATTTATTAACAGAGAATAAATAATATTAATAATAATAATAGATTAATAATAATAGGTCCAAAGTTTATAAATCTTATTGTAATAAATGTCAAATGGTCTCATCTGAAGAAGAGGCTAGATTCCGAGAAGAAAGTATACAATCTGAAAAACACTCTAAAGACGCCTTGCGTGTCAGCATTAAGTCACAAGAACAAAAATCATCTTCTGAAATTGGTATTGATTCATCAAAATCAATACTGCCGACTTCAGAAGTGATAAAAACGATACAGTTTAAGGTCGTAACAGATTCTATGGAATCTAAAAATTCGCAACAATTACACAGGTTAGATTATTAATTTTATTAATCTTTTCTTAATTTTTTATAATTAAGAATCGATATTTCTAATATTCTATAAATTACATTTAAATAATATTCAATCAATTAAAACAAAATTAATGTAGAAAACAAAATTAATGTAGAAATAATTTTTACTTTATTTATTTACTTTATTTTAAATACTTTCGCGTAATATTATACATATAATAAAATATAATAAATGCGTTCCAATATTTTTTTCTTAGCAAAAATATTATAAATGATGAAACTGAAACAACATATATGAAAATGCCTACGAACAAAGAAATTTTGACATCTACGAAACTACGGTCAAAAAATTCACCATTTCATAAATTACGAAAATATTTTGTAGCAGGACTGCATCGAATTTTTCGAATAAAAAATTAAAAATAAATATTAGTGATGAAAATTAGAAAACATAATGTCAAGATTAACTTAATTAAACGAACGATTCAGTCAGCGTTCTTTTAAGAAAAAAGAAAATAATCTGTTCAATTTTTTGATAATTTTTATAAATATTTTAAAGCCTTATAATACTATTACAGTACTATTAGTATAATACTATTACCTTGTCTAAATATGTAATGTTTTAAAGACAATGATTTTTATTTTTACTGCTAAAAATGCTTGAAATAATTTAAATAATAGATGAATAGAGAAAAAAAATAATTTTATTATAATTTTTTTATATTTAATTCATACATAATGTATGTTTTTATTTTATTAATTTTGAAATCTATATTTTTAGTACATATACACTATATGTCTAAATTTGCTTGTCGTTACAACTGTTTCTTTTTTTCATCACTATATTATATATATGCATTATAGACTTACTTTGAGACTAAATACTCTTAAAGTGATAATATTTTCGTATATTATTGGAAAATTTATACGAAATTTTTTTCTTATGTTAAGTTTCTTATGAAACATTTTTTCAGTTTTAAAAGTTTTAATTATTAATTTTATTGTAATTTATTGTATAATCGCATGAAATGTAAGATTTTTACTTGATTACTGTTTTATTTTATAAATATAAGTAATTTTTAAAAAGGACTAAAATTTTTATTCTTAATGAATGAATGTGTGTGCATAGAAATACATTTAACTATTTTTTAATACATTTTAGACAATAAGAAAAATAATTAATGGAAAAATTAATATAACTATAAATATATATTTTTTGTTAAACAATGTACAGCATAGTTTCTATTAGCATAATATCTATTAGCATAGTTTCTATATATAAGTCATTTATTATTAGTATATATTATTCGTTTATCATATTATATTTATGATAATACCAGGAGTAAAAACTTCAGCTACATGTATATTATATATACATATTTATATACAAATCTTACAGTAAATATATTCAAAATGTGTGTTCTGCTTCCAAATATTCGGTTGTGGTTTGTTTAGCAATGTATTATTGTCACTATTGTCCTTCGAGAAGTATTCTAGCAATCATCGCGTTTTGCCGCATAAGTAAAATTGCTGCTTAAATAGTAATAGTGAAATCGCAATGTGGTGGTTTAATAAAACGATAACTTGTAGTACAACTGCATTTGCTGCAATATTCTATTGTGTTATCATAGTGCGTAATCGCAAGGAGAAGAAGGAAACAGGCAGTAAGTTGAAATTGTATTTATTGAATCAAATTCGCTTTGTAAGACACCGTTTACTGGTTTAAAATATTCATCAAATAATATGTTGTGTAGACAATAATTGTAAATATATCAACAATGTAATATATCTTATTTAGGGGCCGATGACAATAATACAGCTTTTGAAATTAAAATAGCTAACCCATCTTCGCCTAATATACATAATGGAAAAGTTTTTGCTAAGAATTCTCTCTCGGCTAGTCCAAATAATGTGCCATTGACGTCAAAAGTTGGACAAGTCGTATCTCATTTGTCAAAACAGAGTGCATCTAATGCTTTGGTAAAATCACGCAATAAAAAATTATTCTCGATACAATTGAAAACTGAAAAAGGTTGTAATTCAATTGTTTTGAATAATTCTAGGTAAAGTATTACCTAAATTCTTATCAAATAATTTTAATTCTTAATAATGTTAATAATTTTAAAAAATTAATATATTAAATAAAGCGAGAAAATTGTCACTTTACAACTATATACATATTTATTTTTGCTATCATTAATTACACTGTGATAAATAATTTAATGATCCGATTTTCACGCATACAAATCTGTCATAAAATTCATGAATTTAAACAATTACACTTTGAGTAGTAAATAATACATTAACTAAAAATCTTTTATTTATAGTTTTTAGTTTTAAATGTCTTAATTGAATCATAAATTCCAATTCTTTAATCATATGTAGATAAATTTGTTTGTATCATTTGAATACTCATTTTTCAAGATTATAATAAAATTGTGAATTTAATATACTTTTTGTATTGTTATCTTATTTTTATTTTTTACTAATAATATGTAGTACATTATAGATTCTTTACACACGATGATTCAAACGAAACGATTATACTAAATAATATCGCTTTTCCTTGTGAAAGTGGATTTGGCAATATGCAAGATAATTTGAATCATTCATTAATTATTCATATTGATGATTCGTCGGACTTGACAAATAATAAAACCCAAATAAAAATTTTCAACAAACCAATAAAACAATCGATGCAAGATGTGCTCAGTATTTCTACGAATTGTTCTACTAATAACAGGTTAGATTTCATTAGTGTTATATCTATTTATTAGTAAAAATTACACATATTTAACATTTTTAAAATGTATAATTAATATAATGAAAAATAAGAAAATATAAAATAATTTATGCCGTTATTTAGAAAACTTGTATTATATATTATATAAAGTATCTCGTTCGAATATAGCTTGACTTTTAATATAATGCACTTGCGGCTCATTTGCAACTTTTTCTAAAAGTTCTGATAAAAAAATGATTACTTAAACCATATTTATGAAACTCTTAAATTTTTAACCTGTGTGAGAGAGATATATTTTGTTATATAATTTTTAAATATTTTTACTTAAAAGAAATAAAATTTTCGAAATTTGTGCTATAAATTATTGTATATTAAAATTAGTTTTTTTTATTACGATATTTATTATGATTATAGATCTGCCAATTCAATTATGATCAGCCAGAATGAAAACCAAGGAATTGGTATCACGATTTCACCGTTCAATAACCGGCACATTGTGAATCCTATTATAACGTTTCGTGGAAATCGATCAACGAATACAAACCAATGGACAAAAGAAATAGAAAAAAATGATGTAACTGTTATAATCAATGCTCCTGTATAAACACAACAAAAAGCGCCAATATTTTTAAAAAATTTCATATTTCTCAGAAGTGTTGAATCGATTTCTTGTTTTCAGAAGAAAATTATATTAATTGTACGTTTGATAATGTGTTAATGTTTTTTTCTATTTTCTAAATTAATGAAAAAAATTCATTTGTTTTATATATTCTCGTATAATTTCTCGTAAAAGCACAATAATTGCTACTACTTATTTTTAATAATTATATAAGAATATTTATAATTTATATTTGTCATTCTTATATTCCTGTGAAATCTTGTTTATTAAAATAATTTAAATTTTTGTAAAATTTTTATCTTTTAAAATGTTATTTATTATATTTATTGTAATTAGATATATTTTAATATGATATTTTATATAAGAGAAAAATTTTTGCAAATATATATTGTGTAACACATATATCTATCTAATGTTTTTATAGATTTATATTTATATTTATTATATTATATTATAGATATTCATATTTTTCATATAATATACTTTATATATTTGCTTGTATTTTCTTTTTATTAATTGCTTTAATTATATTTTAATTTTTAGGTAAATTTATTATATGTGTGACATTATTACATTTATAATTTATTTATATGCATATTCAATCGTGATCCTAAAGATATGACAAATATACTCTGCGAAAGCAAGCATTTTATATAAATATCTCTTTATAATATGATAGAACTTTTTTATTCGCATTATTCACAATTTAAGTATACATATAACTATATAAATATTTTTGTAGAATATATTTATATATTCATATGTTATTGTAAATATATTTCTATGAAAATATTTTTACGAAAACTTTTCTTATATGTGAAAAAATTGTTATATATCTATATAATCTCATGTATAATTATAAATATAAATCTGTATTTATACTTATATATTTTAACGCTCTTTCTTTTTGAACAATAAAAATTCTTATGAAAGTTTCTTGCAGTCTATTAATACAATAAAATTAATTTTACCTTTATCGATTCCTTTTTATATAGTAAATTTAAACACATTTCCTTTTATACAGTAAATCTAATAAATAGATTAATTATTGTTAAAATTTACAAATCTAATAATATTTTTAAAATAGTAGCAATAGTTTCAAAACATGCGCTATGGATTAAAAAAAGAAATTGATAATTTTTGTTGTGATAACATTTTTGCATATATCCCTTAACATTCCATTAATTGGTGTCAACAATCTATTGCTGATTACAAAGTTTATTCATGACAAGCGTTAATTGCGATATGACGTGGATGATATTAAATCACTTACAACATATGTTGTAGATATTTACAAAATTTGTATATCAGCGTTGAGTAAATATTATAATATTCTGCATATAAAATATTTATTTTAATTTATCATGTATTCAGATCATGGTAAAGTTATATTATATGCGGATTATACGACAATATTCAATGATGAATGCTTAAGCAAGATAAGAAAAGAGACAATAAAATAGAGGAAAATATATACGTATATGCTTTTGTAGTTAGATTCTCGAAGGACAATTATTAAGAAACTATGTCGGCGTTTTTTTTCTTCCGTGCTATTAAAAGTATTTATTTCGCATAACTACCTGTTCCGGTTCATAAGAAATTATTTGTTAAATAAGCGGTGAGAGAGAAGATATTATTCCGAAACATGAAAAAATCATCTTCCGTCGATTGAGATCGTTCAAGAAGAAATCTCATTCTTTTTGTTTCAAAGATACTTTTCTTGATATAATTCGATATAATAAGCGTAGTAAATTGTTGTATTGTTGCTTTTATATAGGAAATGATTAGTGTCAACATAATTGTATTCACGAGCATTTGCTACTTGTCTCAAAGCAAGGCCAAGTGTGTGATTTATCCGTAATTGATTTATAAAATCAAATGTAAAAATTGTTCAAGTCGTCGATCTGTAAATCGATTATGTCGGTTAATTGATATTAAGGATATCTATCATACAAGACGCATAATTATTAACTCGACAAGTAACTCTGCAAAATCCATTATAACTTTATGTTACGTAACAAATAGGTCTGGATTGATTACAATGTGCAAGTTTACACATGACAATCATTATGATGTGACATATATCTTCCAAAAATTTGAGAATTTAAATCATAGAGATTATCAAGATTTTAGTAATTAGAAGATTAAAATAGCACAGTATTTTTTAATTTAAAATATACAAGTTATAGGTAATGTCTCTATTTTTTTAATTAGTTTTAAAAGAATTAATATCAGCACGCGATTTAAAAAAAAAATAAAAAATAAAAAGTAAATAATGTAATTTTTTTATAAGATACTACAATTGTATCTACTTCTTATCTGTTTTGATTTTTTTTAAATTTCTTCACGAAGTAGTCATCATATTGATATGTTTAAAAACGATAAGGATTGACTTACGAATCAGAAACGATTTATCAGCCGATTAAAATACCTGTGATCGCCATGCATCGTTTATAATACCGAATGGTTTGATCAATGAATTATGCATATACTTGAACGTGCGAATACTCGTGGTTGCAGCGCGCGATTTGCATGCGCGGGTTCGCAAGTGATTAACGATCGGCACGTTACGTAATGAATCGATTTCCAGCGATAAGAGATGCCCGTTCATGTGCGTGTGTGCAATCCCGATTTGTCGCGCACACACGTACATATGTGTATCTCCGTTAGTTGCGCGCGGCATTTCCTTTTTCCTTCTATTCGAATGACGCACGTGACACGTCCACGTCCGTTGATTGTGGGTGTGGATCGACGTAGCCTGCGGCCGCGTGCAGGCGGGCCCTCATGGACCTTGATTTGCCTCTTGTCTTGAACAGGTCTATTCGATCTGCGATAAATGCAACGCTTGTCAATACGAAGAATCTCGAAACTTGCTGCAGATTCTTCGACGATAGTGCAGAGAGATCCTTCTTATAGCGAATAAATATGAAAGTAGTGCCTCTTAAATCTTAGAAATATTTTGAACATTTTTAAGATTAATATAAATAAGAGTTCTATTAGTTTCGAAAATAGAAATTTAATGATTTTTACAAGAGTAAATTATAGATGATTAAAATTGATAAAAATTGATAAAAAAACTTGATTATAACATATATATCATAACATATATAGTAATGCAAATCGTCATTTATGCAACTGTTGACTTTATTTGTAAACTATAATTATATGTATGGTGCTATTGAGATCACGTTAATTCTATACTTAGCTACACACTTGACAGCAGGTTTACTAATGGCAGTCTATTGTTATCTTATTTTATTATATAATTAGAGAGAGAAATAGAGTGAACTCCAATCATAACAATTTATAATTAGTCGTTGCCTATACATGTCATGTGTCTTGTCGATAAAAATATTATGATAAATGATTTTGATCTACAATTTCCATAAATTCTCTTATATATTCCGGCTTCTGACTTTAGAATAAATGTAGAGAAAAAAAGAAATATTTAAAAGTGTGTGTATGTGTGTTATGGCGAATGCAGTCATCGAATGTAAAGTAAATGGAAATTCCACATTCTAATTTTAACTCAGCTGTCGCTCATTAAAGAGGGGAATCCCGTTCCTTCTTTTCTTTCCTGTACCTAAGGTCGGGCAATCACCTTGCGCCACTGACGTAGCGCCGAACAACATATCAAACATAAACATGAACTTGGCAATGATTTTTGCTACATGAGTACGCTTCTATTTGCCAAAAATATATAATAATCTATATATAATATAAAATGCTCGTGTCACGCAATATGTATTATATTTGCGTTTGAATTTCTAGTTCTCGAGTATATTTAAAAAATTTTTAAACTTTTACAATCAGTGAAATTTTTTAAGAGATCTACAAATCTAAAAAATGTAAAGATATTTTTTAATTTGATCAAATTAGCAAGAAGATAAAATACAAATGTTTCACTTATTCTTTATATTGAATCAGTGACAATATCGCTGATTAAAGTAATAGCAAGATTTTATCAAAGATCAGTGAGCATTTCATATTTTGATCTTATACTTTACAAATTATTGACCGTAAAATTCCGTATAATTAATATTTAAATTCAAAATTACATGCATATTATTTCTTTACTTTTAAGATATGATATACTCACAAAAATGAATAACTCTTGATCAAACTTACAATTAGTTATTTCTTTATCATATTATATTACTATCAATTTATTTTATATGTGTATAATATTATAATATATTATAACATAAAATATATTTATAATATTACTGATTAATAGTCAATAATTTTCAGTGGAACTGTATTGTTTTATAGAAATTATATATTTATAATTAAAATCATTGTTTATTAGTGATAATATACTTTGATTTAAAAGTATTTAAGATATTTTATTACAAAATTGCCTGTTCTTAATTGTTATTATTATTAGTATAACAATAATTTGCACCATGTCATCAGCATAGTTGTGTTAGAAGTATCTTTAATCTCAATAGATTCTGTACATTCGCTCAGTATAATACCTTGAAACTTAGCCCGTGGCATGTAAAGGAAAACCGAGTTGTCGATCGAAGATACGCCGGTATTTCTCTGCAACAATGTGCACTATTGATTAATGATGTACGCATGAAACTTATACTTCATCCCAATGACAATATATAATAATGCGCACTATCGAAGGTTGTAAGATGTTTGGAATTATTAAGTATAATGAAAGAGATAGAGAGAAAGAGAAACGTGAAAATAATTATAATCTTAAACACAATTAAAAAACAATTGTGTATATAAACAAGTATATATTTTTTATAAAAGATACCTATAATATTAATTTTTTAAAACTGGCGAATTAAAATATAAAATGCATAATTAATTATTACATAAAAAATCAAATAAATCATTTAATTCTCAAGTTTTCGGAGTTTTTAATAAGACTTATAAATAATATGTAAAATACTTGTAGCAAAAATAAAAATAAAAAATATTTTTTCTTTAAAAAAGTTCCGTTTTATATGATCGTAATAATTACGCAAAGCTATTCGCATAATTCTCGATCTGATAAATACCTATCAAATCGTATCAAACTGCAAATTAATTTTTACACGTGGACGCATCTGTTACATATTTAT